TAAATAAATAAATAAATAAATAAATAAATAAATAAATAAATAAATAAATAAATAAATAAATAAATAAATAAATAAATAAATATAGAAATAAATAAATAAATAAATAAATAAATAAGATAAAGAAGTATATCCATATCATGACATGACTACATAAATATACACAACATCTCAGAGGCACATTACCATTCAATGCTATGCCAAATAGGCCGACAATATTGTCAACAATATTATCAACAATAACAAGGTGTTTATTTGCTGTTGACAACATCAGAATAACCTCACTAGAAAATATATTGTATGGTTCACAATGGTTAACAATACTATAAAAATGTAATCAAAGTAAACAAGTAAACATTTCTGAAAATAATCCTACAAAACTTACACAACCAAAACATACCCTGACTCGGTCTGGACAACCGCCACTGATAAATAGCTTCAATACTATAGTATTAGTCCAGTTTCAGCTAACAGTCTGCATAATGCATAAATTATACACTACATCAAAACAGTCATAAAATATGAAATCATAAAGTGCGTGGTTAGAAAATGCATCAAGTATTACTCAAATGTCATCAGGAGTGCATAAGTATCTTGTTCTATATCATAAAGAACAATAACAAATTTCAATAAATCTTGCAGCCTATAACTGTCCATAGACGCCATGTATAAAATTTGACAACAAGCTTGAAATAAGCACATAAATTTAAGACACCATATTTTTGCAGTGATTTATTTAGTCTAGGGGTGAGTTTGTCTGCCATCAAAAGTAGTAGATGCGCTTTTGTGTTTAGCATTTCAATATTTTTAATATCTTATTATATATCACAAGACACTTCGCGATGGGCTTCTTTCACAGTCAGTAATAGTTACGTAAATTTTTGTTCACTATTTTATAAACTGGCTTGGCACTTCCCATCACCAATTAGACTTTTAAGATTAAGACTTTAGATTTTTTTCAACAAATCCAAAATCACTCAATAATTGTGTTTACTTCACATTTATACTATTATTACATTTGAAATTTTGACAATTTTAATGCATACATGTATACTCACAAAAATACATTCAAAATAAGAGAATTTAGTATATAGCCTAGAAAAAAGGCATTATTTTTTCTTGTCTTAATAATGCATTTCTTTCGATCTGTGCAACTTTATGTGGAAATCCTAATACGATTTAAAGTTCAGTTCACAACTGACGGTTTTGCAATATTTGGGCTTGTCAACTTGTCCATGGAGGCTGCAAGATTTTTTTTTTTATAAATATTATATTCACTGACATATTTTCTTACTTTATATTATATAAAATAGTGAACACAAGTTTTCGTAAAATTACTGACCACGAAAGACGCCCATCGCAAAGTGTCTTGTATATAGGGTATATAAATATGCTTACCTTAATGAATTGAGTGTCTGGATAGTAGTTGATAAACAAACCTGCTATCGAATTCCATGCACACAAATATGTCCCATCTCTATCTGCGCTTAGTGTCAATATTGAGAGGGATACATAATGATTAGATATAATTGGTTGTACATTTTTATTTTATTTTTACTTGGTGCATTGTATAATTGAATGTTAAAATCTATTATAAACATAGTTATAACTCTTAAATAAGTTATATTGTAGTAATTATAAAGAATATTACGCGTACACATACAAATACATATACATCAATACCTCTAAACAACAACAAACAATTTCAAGTTCAGTGTCAGGCTCAGGGTGACACTATTTGCACATTATTCGGGAAAACTACAGGTGTAGAAAACACATCATCGATATAGCTAGATAATATGTATTATTGCTAACTCGTACTAGACTATATAAGACATTGTCTTAGTGAATATATTCATCAGACTCTGCATACAAGCCGGTCGTTGTCATCTCAAAACAAAAGGTAAGTATATTTTGTTTTCAATGACTAACTGTTTGCCATCAATATGTCCAGCTTTTTGCATTTAGTATTGACTACACTCTACAGGTTTACTCTTTGATTTCTTCCTCAGAACAGGACAGAAAAAAATGATTCAAATAATAACTGCTCTATTTTTCTTGGGCGTCGCGGCAGGTATGGAGATTTGTCATTGTTGTTTGAAATTCGTTTTACTTTAAAGTCCTGATCTAATAATGCTGCTTATACACCATATTAATTTATCTATTGGTCAATATATCTTCTGTCAATGCACTCAAACTTTGAGTCTCCTCGTATAATGACTGATCAAACACAACTTTCAACTTCTATATCAGACTCAAATGCATTATATCGTTATAGACAGTACATTGTTGTTTCTATTAACAGGGACATGTCCCGATACATTCACGCCATGGGAAGGCAACTGTTACAGAGCAGTAGCTGCAGATGCCGAATGGGATGAAGGTGAAGGATACTGCTTTATGTATGGTGGACATTTGACGTCACTTCACTCAATTGAAGAAGAACGATTTGCTAAACAATTGGCTGGACCCAATGAATTCTGGATAGGCTTGTCAACATCGGTAAATATATAAAATAAACATTGACATTGAGAAATGAATCGAATACAGAGCATAATCTTTATTCATATATCAACAGCCATAATGGGGTTTTCAAACTAAATGTGGAAAACTTCTTTTCGGAAAACATTTTCACATATAAATGATGTATATATTTGTTATATCTCTTAGGATAATTCTGGTTGGCGTTGGAGTGACGGAACTCCAATGGACTATCAAAACTGGGGAGATGACCAGCCTAGTGATGGTATGTTCATGTATGATGAAGACTGTGTTACAACTAATGACGATAGTCGCAGTAAGTACTACTTACTTTATAGGGCTGATTAATGAAAATATGCTAATGTGAATAGATTGCGTATTGATTGGTTAGGTCACGTGACATTTGTTGTTAGATAGACGCGATATTATTAAAACAGATAGATCGATGGACCTCTATGGGAAAATTAAAACATGACTTGTTCAATTAAAAACAGTTCATCCCGTTCTCGGCATCATTTTAAACAATAAAAATGGGGTGAGAACTTTCAGTAATTAAGAGTGATAGCGATAGCAACCTACGTGGGCACCCACGTTAATGTTGTGAAACTGTGCGGTTAAAATTTATATCACGGGCGAATGTAGAATCCTGTTTTCAGTCAGTTATTCATTTAAAGGTGTGACTCATTGGACGATATATGTGCCATGTATTCACCTGGCAACTATATTCTTATCCAATTCCAATGTGTCTTATTGTCAGGCAGCTAAAATAATAGACTTTAATCATTAGTTAGGAAAACTGTCCTCCGTTTCGAAAAATGTTACAATTGACAGCTTTCGAAGTTTGCAACTCGGGGTGCAAGCTGAACTAGTCCCATATACAAGCTGAACTAGCCCCATATGCAAGCTGAACTATCCCCATATGCGAGTGTATCAACGTACTATGTGCATTCAAATATTGATTATTCTGTTCCATTTTTTTCCACAAACAGGAATCGACTACCAATGGAATGACGTTAACTGCAACAGGGAAAGACACTTTGTCTGCAAGGCACCACTGATTGCATAATAATTCAGTCACATCAGTAAGTGCTACACTGTGTAAATACTTTATGAAAATAAGCTCACATTTGAATGATACCAGTATACAACAACATTTATTCATAATTATGCAATCAAATTATTTGAATTGAAAAACAACGTTCTACTAATATACTATAAGTTTTAAAACAGTGTATGCATTCGAATATAATGTTAGTCACGTGATAGTGCTGGTCGCCATCCCCATGTCTATATCACGACTCAATCTTATCTTAATTAACTATTACCTACTAACTATTAACTATTACCTATTACTTATTAACTATTATTATGAAGATGCGATACGCGTCGATGATTGATTTCTCTTCTTTTATTCGCAGATGACTTTGATACCAAGGATATCGCTTCTACTTCACCGGAGTACTGTAATTAGTTCATTCAGTTTAATAAAATGTCAAATAATTTTATCCACACGCGTGCATTGATTATGTGAATTCAGTGAACCTGTGGGGTGGGACACGGAGTTGTGATGTGGCAGATGCATTCTGTTTTCGAAAGATCCATTTAAACCTTTCATGTCAAATAATTTTATCCACACGCGTGCATTGATTATGTGAATTCAGTGAACCTGTGGGGTGGCACACGGAGTTGTGATGTGGCAGATGAATTCTGTTTTCGAAAGATCCATTTAAACCTTTCATGGTAAATAAAAAGAAATAATTGAAATTATGATAGAACTAAGAATTTCCATTTGTTCCTACGGCAATGTTTGCTCTTGCATGACTATCATCAGCGTAACCTGTTACTTTTACACCATAGTATTTTCCCTCAAAGTGATGTCATCTACAGCTTACAAACTGCTTGAACAACAAGTATATACAGATTCTCGCTTCTCCGTCTTTTGTAAAACCTTTGAACGTTATTACGGTAGTTTGCAATCCATCCGTGTGCTTTTGAAATATGCACCTAGCGTATATACACCTGAGCCGTAATTTAATAGGCCCAAACATCATGTAAATATGCCATACTATACAGTGTACATGTGTACTATGTCAAGTACGATTTAGTCGTTGTTCTAATTAAAGGGCGGTGGACGGCGCTCTGCGCATGTGTGTTGATAATCATTGATTTTCGCACAATCCAATGCGCTCTTCTAATAGAAATCACGAGTATGACTGGTTTGACCTGGGCGCGACTTGCACTAATTATTGCCGGTGACTCCTTCGAAACCTTCCAATCACCTAAAAAATACCTAATAAAAGCTTGGTAACGTTTCAGTTTGTACTCGTTGATCTGCGCAACAGTCAAAATCGCCGAATTTTATTTGTGTGATTCTGTAAATAATTTAAATAAATAAAACTAGTAACTCCGCGCGCATGGACAAGTCGTAAAACGTAATCTGTTTATTTTATTTCTCCATTCTTTTCACATATCTTTTTCTGCATACGCACACAAGAATTTCGTCAAATAGAGGTTGTAAATAATACAAAGATTATATAGTATCCAATTTAATGCATAGTACAAAGTATCCGCCGCTTGATAAGCATGTGTATGTTCTAAGACCACTATCTCAGCATGCCCTAACATTTTGATACAAATGGGTTTAAGATAACATGCATAAGTAATTCACTATTATGGACGACAAACCTCAGATTTTTTCAATTTTGATGCTATGTGCAAGAATGCTGATAAATGAGTCTATACAAAGTGTCTTACGTGAACCTTCCGACAGATCCACGAGTCAAAAGTTATTCAGTGCCACTTAGGGTGGTAAATGTTATTCAGTGCCACTTAGGGTGGTAAATGTTATTCAGTGCCACTTAGGGTGGTAAATGTTATTCAGTGCCACTTAGGGTGGTAAATGTTATTCAGTGCCACTTAGGGTGGTAAATGTTATTCACTGCCACTTAGGGTGGTAAATACTACCAATAATTTCCCTTTAGTATTTTTGTGTACATCACAAATGTTTATAATGGAGAGGTCATAGTAAGAGTTACGTGGTTTATGCATATACGAGAATCGGAAAACTGAGTGTGTTTTTTTCGTACCAAAGCATAAAATCGTTGTTTTTTTTAAATTAAAAATGAAACTACGACCCTATCACCATACATAGTCGTAATCTACAAATAAAATGCTATAATCAAATCTTTAGTAGCATTTACCAATTCAAGTGATGCCGTTCTGATATAAATTAGGATGTTATTCAATGGCACAGGGTCACATATGGCATACTGTCAAATTATCATGGTTCGTAAATAACCATATTTTGATGAGTGGGATAATTAGTAGAAAACATCTGATTGGAAGTACAACATCACGGTAAAGTCAGTACTCAGATTAGTCAATTCTCCATTATTTGTAGCTAAGTAAACACTGGAAATACAATAAGGTCATTTAAGTATGCATGACGTCATAGTTGTATGCAATATTGATAACTGATTTTCAACAAAATACCATAGTTAAGTTTTTGGAATCTGATTGGGATGAGTGGTTACCCTGGCAACTTGTATATTCTAGTTTGAAGGAGTCAACCTGCAAATGTATAACGTGCTCATGCGATGGGGCAAACTATCTGTCCATAGAAGTTGATCCCCTAGCGGACAATCATATTAGCAATCATAGGCAACAATAATAACAGATTCATTTAATATCGAGACTGAAGGTTTCAAAATAAATTTTCATTCCAGGAACCGATAAACGGTGTAAGACTCTCCTGCCGGACGTTCGCACGGTAAATAATTATTATAATTATTATAATTAAGCGAAACAAATATCAAATCAATTAATGAATGCAGAAAGATTAAGGTGTTTTCTAATGATCATGGGCTCAATGTTGAAGTCAATGTTAGAGGCAGAAAATGTTTAATGTAGCTTTTGCCTTTTCCTTAATTTTTAAATGTGTTGTTGACTACCTTGGATACGCAGCGTTAATCGATTCGACAAATACGCACTTTAAAACTCGGGGTTCAGACAATCATTGTCAGGGAACTAGTTTTAGGAGCCGCGATGGTTTTATTATTAAAGTACCCTTCTTACCTACTAGTGTGTTAGTAACGCCGAGTCGTTCTGAGATTGTTCCCAGCCGCTGTGGTTTTAGCGCCCGCATACACCGCAGAAACATATTATTTTGTTTTTATAATTCGCTCCACTTGTACTGCGCATGCGTAAACGTTTTGCCTGCGCTCGTTCGCCATTTTGTATTCCCGGCGTCACCACGTGAAAGTCGAGCGTTGTACAGTCTTTTTCGTTTTATCAGCTCTAGCCGACAAGAAAAATGGCATATAAAGGACAGAAAGTGCAGAAGGTTATGGTTCAACCTATCGTATCCTTTTACAGTGATTTGTATACTACGGTCAGCGATAAATGACACGATGCCGTGCTTTGACTGACATTGGCTGGAGTCTGTGCAGCTTTTTTTCTTTGTTTATTGGCAGACCTACTTTTGTATTAGGCCTATGGGTTATTGAGTGAACACATGATCTTGTATGCCGACTTTTTGCCGGCAAACTAGGTCCACGATTAGTGTGTATTGCCTATGCATCATCTTTATTGTCGTTCAATATTGTGATTTGCCAAGGTGATTGACCGAGTCATAGAACTAAAAATAGATTAGCCTTAGACCTTGCTGCAGTTCTGTAGCTCGCTCGGTTTCGCTGTCGGTTATTTTGTTCGTCGTGGTGTTAACGCGAAACCATGGAGCTACAGTTCCATCCTATGCGAGTTACCATATTTTACCGACCTGAAATCAGGTCGGGCCGTAACAGCCGGGTTTTTTTTCATTATTTTCGCCTCAAGTTTCTACTTTTCTACTGTCGATGGGTCCCGAAACTATTTCATCAATTATTTTGAGGGCGATGGTCCGAAATTGGTCGATTTCACGACGAAAACCGCGGAAAACTTCAGCGAAA